CATCGCCATCATCATCAGAGCAGCAGCTTCAGCATCACCATCATAGTTAGCAGCACCATCACCATCGTCGTCATCATCATCATCGCCATCATCAGCATCAGCATCATGGACCTAGTCGACACCATCGTCATTAACAGCAGCATTATCGTCATAATCGTCATCGCCATCGTTATCGACATCGTCATCGACTTCGTCGTCGACGCCGTCATAGTCGTCGCCGTCATCATCATCACAAGTATGATCAGCCTCAACATCATCCTCATCCTCACAACCGTCCTCATCATCAGCAGCAGCAGCATCAACAGAAGACTGATACGCATCATGATCAGCAGCATCATCATCATCGTCATCATCAGCAGCATCAGCATCAACACCAACATCATCATCAATAGCACTATCAGCCCCATCATTGCCATCATTATCATAATTCACATCAGCACCTTTATCAGAGTTATCATCATCAGCATCGTCATCGTCCCCGACATCGTCACCATCACCATTATCAACATCACCATCATCAACCATATTAACATCATCACCATCGTCGTCGCCATCATCGCCAACATTAATCAGCATCACCACAACCATCATCCATCACCATCAACAACAGCATCAGCAGCAGCATAATCATTACCATGGGCACCACGACAGTCATCGTCATCGTCGTCGTAAACGCCATCGGCGTCGTCGGCATCATCATCCTCCGCATCAGCAGAATCATTATCATCAGCATCATCAACAGCAGCATCATCATGATCACCAATGTCAACATCAACATCGAAATCAACATCCTCGTAATCATAATCGCCGTTGGCATCGACATCATCGTCGTCGACATCGTCAGCATCAGTGTCATTATCATCAGCATCATCATCATCAGCATCATCATCATCATCATCATCATCAGCGTCATCGTCATCACCGTCATCAGATTCATCGTCATCGTCAGCGGCATCGCAACCACTGTTGCAACCATCAACATCACCACCATCATCATAATCGTCGACATCATCATCACCATCACCATCGTCATCATCATCATCATCAACATCATCATTAGCAGCAGCAGCAGCATTCTCGTCATCATAACCATTTCAATCGCCATTACAACCCCCGTCACCATCACCAATATCATCACCACTATCATCATCATCGTCATCAGCATGATCATCGTTGTCTGGCGCCAAGCGGCGCGTGCCGAACAATCCAGATCGAACTCGGACTCGGCCTGTACCGTTCTGTGGGATTTCGTGAAGTACTACGAAAAGATACCTTTGGATCATCTGATCTTGCGTTGCGAGCGTCACGGGCTTCCGCCAGCCATCACGTCCATGTGCATCGCAGGGTACATGTCGGCCAAGTTCCTTGTGCTTGCAGGTACGGGTTCTTACCCCATGTATGCCAGGGTTGGCATCATTGCGGGGTGCAGCTTTGCGACGACCCACATCCGAATTTTTGCTTTAGACGGCTTCGACTCACTGTCCATTCCTCCTCTTCTCTCTTTCGACGCTTACACCGACGACATGGAAATCAATGGAGTTGTGAAGGAGATGGAGGTTGCCATTCGGTCTCGCGGGTGGAACGCCCGCACCAAGATTCGAGCGACACGTGCCAGACGGCGGGTTGGCCGACTGGTAGGCCAGCGAGCTGTTCCAGGACGCAGGGCCATCAAACTTTGTGTTTCGGGCCCGCTGCCAGGAGCCACTTACGGCAGCGAGGTCCATGGTTGCAGTGATGGTAAACTTCTCAAATTGTGTCGACTCTGTGCGGCCACGATGACACCCAGTGCTGGGGGCAGAAGTTTGACCATTTTGTGTCGATTAGAAGGGGACCCTGCTTGGTACGGTGCGGTTTCTCCGTTTGTCCGTTGGGCCAAAGAAGTGTGGGCTCGTCACACCAGGGCCTCGGATTTTGTTTTTTCTTGGGCCCAGCTACGTTCTATGTGGAACGATAGCTTTCACCGACCCTGGTCCTGGAGAAAAGTGGGCGGGCCCGTGGGGGCCATGAGGCTTTCGGTTGACAGGATTGGCTGGGCTATGCCCTCCCCCTTCATCCTGATTAGCGACCTCGGGGCCCGTCACTCCCTCACTCTCACCCCCCCCGCACTCCTCAAGAAGCTCTTGAAGGAAGCGGTCTGGAGGTGCCTCGAGCGGGAAGCTGCTCAGAAGTACGGGGGCCAGGGGTCCACGAGGTGTTGTTTTGATGTTGTGGCTGCTGCCCTTAGGTCCAAAAAGTGTACGCCCCTCCAGAAAGGAACCATTAGATGTATGACCTGCCAAGGACTGTGGCCTCTTGCACGTGCGAGAGCCGCAGGATACGATATTCCCGACGAGTGTCCTCTTTGCCATGCGCCTGGAGACACTCTTTTTCATCGCCTGTGGTGCTGTCCTATGGCGGAGGAGGTGAGGAGATCCATCATACCTGACAAAGTTCTGGAGGCGGTCCGAGGCGATCCTGACGCTGGCTCTAGGTTCGCTTTGGTCTCTGGTCTTTTCGAGCACCCACAAGATGTAGTCGCCCCCCACAGCCGACCACGACGACAGCCCCGACGGCATTTCGTTTAGGTGTTTCCCAGAGGGCGTCGAAGCTGAAGGGTGGGCATGTCCACCCGCGGGCTCGCGCCTCTTGTGGGGCAACGTTTTCCTCGACGGGTCCTGTTCCAAATCGCCCATTCGGGACCTTTGCCGAGCGGGTTGGGGCCTTGCCAGTTTGGGCCCAGGAGGCAACCTCTTAGCGATGGCGTATGGACCCGTGTGGGACAGCTGCCCACAGACGGCTCAGGCTGGTGAGTTTTCTGCATATGCTGTATGCGGCGCGTTCCTCCCACAGCCCGGCCAACTGTTCAGTGACTGCGCCAGCGTGGTTGGCATGCACGTGTTGCCTGAGCACGCCCGTCTCGCTCCCAATCGACCCTACGCGGGTTTGATTATGCAGGGGCGGGCGCTGGGCGGGAACTTGATTTTGAGTTGTGAGAAGGTCAAGGCACATGAGGCCTTGAACGACCCTAATATTTCTCCTCCCGAACGCATGTTGCGAATCGGCAACGACCATGCCGATCGTGCTGCCAAGCTTGGAGCGTCTGCGCACCCGTCCGCCGCCGCCTCCACGCTTGAGGAATTGGATTTTTCAGTTTTGGTTTCCAAGGCTACTGTCAGGCTTGCGGCCGAGTTACTCCCTTTGTGGCCCAGGACCGACTTGAAAGAGGTCCCCTGGTCCTCCCCTGGGGTGTCTCGGTGCCCAGCTGCCGCCAGCACACACACGTGGACTTGGCTTGGCCCCCTGGCGGGGAACAAAGGTTTTGGCAGTGTTCGACGTGTCTGCGTACCAATCGCAGCCCGAGCCACACCTGCCCACCCCCTGGCCACTGCGCTGCGATCCCTAGGATCGATGTCCAGAGGCTTCGGGATTTGAGCCACAAGTGTGTTCTTTTCGATTGCTCGAACGATTCTCTGCTAGTCGTTTGTTTGCATTGCAGGTGCTATTCCTCGGGGGCTCGAATCGTCAGGCTCGGAGTGGTGTGCGCAGGTCGCCCTGTGGACCCCAAGACTGGCAGAGAGAAAGCCCCCGCAGGCGCCTGGTATAAGATATGTAAAGGCCTCCATCCCAATGCTAGTGGAGTGACCTTGCTATCTGACACTTATAGCGTGCTTTAGTCATGCAGCGCACGGTCGTGCTCAAAAATCCTCCAGCTCCTTTGCCTCCTCGTCGTCCTCATCCTCCGCCTCGTCGTCGTCCTCCTCCAGATCCTCCAGATCCTCCTCCTCCTCCTTCTCCAGATCCTCATCGTCCTCCGCCTCCTCGTCATCCTCCTCCTCCAGGGCCTTCGCCAAATTCCTCGACCATCTCGCGGTACCCCCCCCCCCTGTGTCGCTCTGAAGATACGCAAGCAAAATGCGCGCTCTTGCAAAGGGGGAATCAACTCGGGCACTGGGCCGGAGGAAAAAGTTGAAAACGATCAGGTGCTTCCCGGCAACGTCAGACAGTCCCCAGATCCGTGTTTCAGGGCCCCGGGACCCGATGACGGGCCCCAGAGTCCGAAATCTAAGAAAAACGTAAGGGCTCAAGAAATCGTACTGGCGGAGATCCGGGATGAATGTTTAGCAGAATTTCAGGACACTGTAACCCTTTGGGAGTGGACTTAAATTAAGAGGCACAAAACATTAGGGCTAGGGGATCATTTTTCTGCAGATGTGTCAAGCCAAGCCACCCATGATTGGTTTCCCTGGTGCAAGCCAGGGGACCTAAGTGAGGCTGCGTCTTCACTGTGCTATCAGGGTTAGGGGTCATGTTTACTTAGAGGCCTCCTAAATGGGGTCCGACTAGATGGGGTCGGAGGATCTCGCCGCATCGCCGACAAATCGGCGATGCATCGGCCATGCACTGGCGACGTCGGCGATGCATCGGCGACGTCCGCGTGAAGAAAATCGGGCTCCGCATCGAACCGCATCGGCGATGCATCGGCAATACGACACGATCCTCCGACCCCATCTACTCGGACTCACCCCATCGAGGAGGCCTAGATGATCCTACATGGTTTGAAGACTCGACTGCTGCGTATCGTTTAACCGATGCCCATCCCCAGCGGCGTGGCCTGGGCCCCGCTGGCCGATTTCCCCCCTCTGGATGGGGATATAGGTCGTTCTCATCGGGTTTCGAGCGGTGTATCCCCAACTGGGATGGTGATTTTGGAGGCATGGAAATGGGCACCAACACCAATACACGGGGCTGCCTCCACAGGGGGGAGATGATCCTAGATTTCGGTGTTGGTGGTAATATTTCGGTCACCTTGGAAGCCAGAATATTACCATCATCACCGAGATCGGGATCTTCTTCCCTCGGTTGGGGAACACTGCCGATATTGGTGTTGGGGTCAACCTCTAGGCCTGCGAATGATTTGGTAGGGGTCTCGAAGTGGATGGAGATAGGGATGGGGATCGGTCAAACGATACCGCCGAAGTGCCCACTCCCGCGCAAAGCAAGGCGGTGGGCAGGGAGGCTGCCTCCCTCGACCGGCTCCGCGTGGAAGAACCTCCAGGGAGGGGGGGGGGGGGCACCGCTCCGCACAGGGCCCGGAAGGCGCAGAAGGGACGAGGGGGAGCCCAAGGCGGGGGAGGAGGAGGAGGAGGAGGAGGAGGAGGAGGAGGAGGAGGAGGAGGAGGAGGGCGAGAAGGGGGAGAGGGAGGGAGGAGAGGAGGAGGGAGGAGGAGGAGGAGGAGGAGGAGGAGGGGAGGAGAAGGAGAAGGAGGAGGAGGAGGAGGAGGAGGAGGAGAGGAGGAGGGGGAGGGGATGAGGAGGAGGAGGAGAGGAGGAGGAGGAGGAGGAGGAGGAGAGGAGGAGGAGGGAGGAGGAGGAGGAGGAGGAGGAGAAGGAGGAGGAGGAGGGGGAGGAGGAGGAGGAGGAGGAGGGGGAGGAGGAGGAGGAGGAGGAGGAGGAGGAGGAGGGGGGGCAGGGCCAGAGCAAGCGACGCATACCCAGATTTCCGGCGACCTGATTCTTCCATCCCGAGCGCTTTCTCTCGATTTCGGCCTCTGGGGCCAGGTGTTTGGGCCCCTGGGCCATCGAAAACTGCTCCGGGCCGAAAACTGGCCCTGGGGAAGGTGTCGGGGCCTCCGGGGCCACGAATTGAAACCCCGCGTATCCTTCGGCATACCCGCTCGGGACCATCTGCACTGGGAACACCAAGACAGCGCATATCACCTCCGAGTGTCCAAGGACCTCTCTCGCGAGCTCCTGGAATACCTGGAAAAACCTCAGCGCTCCACAGCCTCCGCAGAAACAACATATGATGAGCTTCATAATCGGCACCAGAAGCTTTCAGAGCTGAGGTCGAACTTCCGTTTCGAGCTCCCGGATCGGAATTCTCGAGCCTCTGAACCGAAGGCCTCGCGATTCGATCCGAGTGCGTCCTTCTCTAAGTGCGAACGCCCTGACGCACCCCATCCGCGATAGACCGCCAACGACACAGCCTCGAAGTCGCGCCGCCGCCCCCCCTTCTACTCCAGTGCTCTCCCTTTCTCCCTTTCCCCCTCCCCCTTCCCCCAGGAGGCTGTTGGGAAGATCCAAGGCTAACGCCACTGAGGAGGCTCATCAGGACTGATCAAGGGCACCCTGAGATCGCGGGGCGGGTTCGGGACGATATCGTACTTGCCATCGCCGTGCAAGAGCATAATCTGTGGCACCCACGCACACGTGGCGTGCAAGGCATCCATACGAGGGATCTCCGCCCCTGCGAACCCACCTCATGTCGGTGCACGCTCAACGATGTACGGTCAGCGAGGCCGTTTCTGCCACTGTGCACAGCCGCGCTGCTGAGACAAGGAACGCTGTGAGGAACGAAGCCCCTGGCGCCAACAGCGCCTGAGTGCACGAGGAGGGCACGTGCTGGCTGTCGTTGCGCTCAGCGCCCCATCCTTCCCGCCAAGGGTGGGAGGGCGATGGGGCTCGTCCGAGGCATCCCAGGGCGCCGTGAGCACCCAGGGGGGTCGGGGGGGCAAAGGCCCCACGGGCGCCTGGCAAGTCTGTGCCGGATCGAACCGCGAAGCCGGGACAGGAACGTATCGGATCGCGAGCTAGTCGCCCCGCATCGAATCCACATCGGATCACCGTGCCCGGCTCCTGCTGGCCCCGGCCGACGTCGGCGCGTCGAGCGACATCGAATCGAATCGAAATCGCGGCCCGAGCCCACGAAACCGAATCGCAGCGAATCGGGTCGTAGGCGTCCCTGCCATGTCCAGGGTGCACAGGAGATGCGCTACGCGTGAAAGCAGCAGCGCCAGCGGCGATCTCCTGCCGCACGCTCCGGTACCTCTAGCCGCTCCCTTCTGTTCGCATCTGCTGCGTCTGCGGCATGTGGCATCCGACCACCTCTCCAGCGGCATCCGCGCACGATTGGCATTGTGCTGGTGGATCGTCCAGGGCGCGCCCGACGTTCACGCCCAAGTGAGCACACGCGCAAGCGGTCTGTCTGCACGCACGCGTTTGCAGCTGCTGAGGATCCAAACTGCGCGTCTGCGCACGCACGCACGGCAATGACGGTGCCGAAACGCCCCCAGAGCCCAGCAAGGAATGGGAGTGCAAACCCAAATCGTTTGGCTGCTATTCTGGGAGGGGGGCCTGCGCTCAGGGAGGCTGCAACACCGCTGAGCGATGTGCTGTCGAACAAACCTGCATGGTGGGCTCTTTCCATTTCTCTGTGCAGTTCAGTTTTGGCCTCGGCTGGTGCTGTGGCTGCACCGTGAAGCGCCCTTCGGGCCAGCTCACCCGAGTCGGTTTTCCTCTTACATTGATGGGCCGATTTTCCACCGCCACTACCACAGGTAGGAGAGGGAGGGGGAGGGGGAGGGGGAGGGGGATGAGGAGGAGGAAGAGGAGGAGGAGGAGGAGGAGGAGGTGGAGGAGGAGGAGGAGGAGGAGGAGGAGGAAGGGACAAGGGACAATCAAAGTTTAGCATCCGACGGGACGGAAACTAGCCGCGCAGACATGGAAGGAGGCCGTGCCTCCGAGACAGGGCTGTGCAGGTATGTCCCGCACACGCCGCTTAAAAGCGAGCACGGGCGCGCCGAGCTACGCCAACACCCAGTCCGAGGCGGCGCCTATGCTACGCGTCGGTGCTACTCCAGATTTGGCGGTGGGCGCGGCTCTCGTCCAGCCAGTACCTCGTCCCTGAACCAAGATTGGCCCGAGGACGCAACGCCCGCACACGGGGCGAGAAGCTTGCGCCAGATCGGCGCGTCAATAAGGCAGTGCGCTGCACAACGGCGGCAGATCGAGTAGCGGCCAGAGGCCCGTACGACATGGCCCTCATAGACGAAGGTGCCTGGCGGCTCCATCGGGGCCTCAGCGGAGGCCTCGAGCCCCAGCGTCTTGAGGGCACCCTGGGCGGCAGCGCATCGCGCCCTAGGCAGGACGCCGCCGCGCCGCAAGGCGCGCACAAAAGAGAGGTAAAGGTGGAGGGCGATAGGGGTGCAGCTCACACCAGGCTGCTCAAACTTCTTCCTGCTCAAGGCGGCCCGCGCCGAGCAGTGACACCACGTGCACCTCGCGCCACCCGTAACCCCTTCCACCGCCTCCAGATCATGAGAAAGCAAAGCGAGCTTGGGGACGCCATCCCCTCGCACCCGCACGGGCGCTGGAATATCTGGAGCAGAAGCAGCGGCGTGCTGCGCAGCTCGCGAGATGAAATCCAACGTGCGATATCAATCCTCGAGCTTCTCGCGCAGCTGAGCCGTGACCAGATCAGGCACCTGGTGTTCAGCTGCCCCAAGCCGCGCAAAGAAGTCGGCCCAGGCGTTTCCGATACAATCGGCGACCATCATGCCGAGCGACTCCCAGGAAAACGCCTGGCCCTCAAGGACCTGCTCAATATCCTGGTGAGCAAGGGTCCAGCGGAACTCGGGCCTCTCAGGCCTGCCCCATATACAAATCAAAAGCCTGCCGCCACATCGGGGCGTGCCTGGCCGCGCCAGCAGCCAATCCAGGGCCCCAGGACACTCCTTCCTTGGCCGCGGACAAAGGATCAGACACGACCTCTGGGCCCCACGGCCCAACCTTCAGAGCGCGGAGGATAGCCTGGCGCTCGGCCCGCGGGGCCGTCTGGACAGGCCCCGCAAGGGGCCCAAACTCGGCCCGCACGGGCCATCCCCCAGGAGAAAGGGCCACGACCGACCAGCCGCAGCGCGTGGCCTCTGGGGGTTCCGACGCCAGGCCGCTCCCGCCCGTGTACAAACGGAAGCCCCACGGTGCGGCTGCCGCACCCCGGGAAAAACCCTTCGCATGAACGGCGGCTGCAGGGATCTCGACAGGGAGGGAAGGCAACCCATAAACCAACTCAGGATTGTCGAAGTCGGGAGGGATCCCATGCGCCTGCTCCTCCAGGCTCTTACGATGCTCAAAGCAACTGTCGGGCATAACAGGGCCCACGTCAGGGTCGTCACTCGCTGCCCAGAGCCCTTCGCATTCATAAAACTGATGGCCGAATGTTCCCTGCTGGTGTTTCAGAAATCGCACTTGCTACTGGAAGCATATCCGTGCTGGAACCTAAGCGCGGGCGGCCCCATAGCCCCAGACCAGAGCGCCCTAAGACAGGTCCTACGGGCACCCTGGAGCCTCTGGAAGCCCAGCCGGAGCTCGAACCCAGACGACCTTGTGCCCCTGGGCGTCGGGGAGGCTGAACACTAACTGAATCCCCTGGGCCCTACTGATGCCATCCCGCAGCAACAATCGCACGTCTGAAGGGGGCATGCGCAAAAGAGAGAGCACCTGCTGCTGGTCCGCCCTGATATGATGCGGCCCGGCAAGCTCCCAACCAACACGCGGCAAAGAGAGCATCGCCGCGCCCAGAGGCCCCCTGACCTTAGACAAGTGGGGGGTGGAGCTGAGGGCCTTCGAAGCGTGTTCCCACGCGCGGCGCATGTCTGAGTCACGAGCACGTCCTTCCCAGACCCAGCAATAATATCTAAACACGAGTGGCGGTGTCGCGTCAAACGCTGGATCGCAAAACCTGTCACGATGCGCGCACAAGTAAGGCGTCACATGACTACGGCCTTTGGCACCTAACAGAGACGCAGCAAACGATCGGAACGACCGAAGGGTGGCGTCGGTGACACCTGAGACGGCAGCGCCGTGGCTGCCACATGGCATAACTCCCGTCCTCCAAAGCCCCGACACCGTCTCCCCGCCCGCCGATCGACGCAAGGCCGTGAGCCTCTGCCTACGCATATCCAGCTGCCTTCTCTTACGAGCTTCCCTTACCCTAAAGACTCGACGCCCGTGCAAATCGTGGCCGAGATTACGCATGTGCTTTTGATGCTTAAAACCGATCGAGCGGCCAGCCGAGGATATTTTTCTCAGCGGCCAAACTCGACGCAACATACCCCGATTTACTCGGCTGCAGAAGGAGGCCAATCGGGGCGACTGCGCGACACAGCTCACGCGCCGCAGCAAGGACCACCTTTGCGTCATTCTTGTCGGGTCCGCCCCGCTGCAAGGGCGCGTCGCCCATGAGCGCTCGAGCTCTCACGGGCGGAAAAC